CATTAAATGATGTTCCACAAGTCACCCAGGCCACAAACACACGTGAGTGACATGACTCCTATCAAGCAGTTAGTTGGATTGGTGTCCACCTGTCAATCTTATCAGTCAGGCACTCAGCTTTAAGCTTTAAGGTGAAACAGACCTAAAACAAAAATGACCCACACAGAGCTGTTATGGATGGGTAACTATAGACCAAAGTTATAATTTTTTATGTCTGTCAGGTTGTGAAATCTGACATTTTTGTTGGGAGTCTAAAGGGAAAGAGTCACGTTGGGCGTCTGCCTCGTGTGGCCACTTATGGAAGTACAGTTTTTGGTACTTTGGCATGTGTGGATTTTTAAACCTTGAAGGTTGGTGCTTAGTCCCGTCCAGGCATTATCCCGTGATAGTGTCAGATACCTGCTATCCTGCAGCCTTCCCTGTTCGCTCTGCCTACTCATACTGTACATATTAGAGCTCTAAAGCAGAGAGCCCTCGAGGTAAACTCTGCTTAGCATCTGCCTGAGTAATTTCAACATTTCCACAACAATGTAGATGTAAAGACTAAAAGACCACCCAGCCAACAGATTCTCAATTAAGAAAGGAAAGCCAGGGTTAATATGCCAGCTCCTACACAAGGCCTTGATTCATTGAATAAATAGATGCATCTGGAATGATTCACAGCATCTCTGTTCTGTATTCCTCCTGCTGCTTTCGCTGCTGTTTTTCTCTTGTTGTCTTGCACTTCTTCATTGTTCTGTATTTGAAGAATGAGCCACTTGGATGAGCCCCAAAAATAACCTGCTACTTTTGGCATAATACAAAAACATCACAGTAAGAGAAATTAAAGTCAGTGTTTATTATACTTCAAAAAAGGTGTTTTTTTCTTCTTTTTTTCCCCCCTTAACTGAGTCCTATAAAAAGACTCCAAGTAGGAATATCTGGTTAGTCTCAATACTTGTTTCTGTGGAAGGAAAGAAGATCTATTAGTTCCTGTTCAACACACAGACAATACTTCTTTGTCATTTCTATGCTAGCTTTGGTATTTTCATAGGCTATGCTGACAGCATGCAGCATGCAATATAATGAACATGACCATAATTGTGCTCAATCATTTTGGTAAAGATGAAGATTTGGGATTAAAAGAAACTCTACATGTCCTCTAAAGATATGAAACCAAAGGAAGAACCACTTTGTCACCTCGAGTAAGTTTTCTCAGCCTGACAGATGTCGGCCAGATTAGCTTAAAACATATGACTTATGCTTTATTTTCTTTTAAACACAATTGCAAATAATAGTTTGTCATTCACAATAGTTTGCTGAGAAAAATTAAGAGGTGCCACAAAACAACAAGAATGACTGAAAATCAAAGCACCACACCACTTGACTAAAATATTTTGATATTTATCACTGACTTTCCTACATACTCAATACAAATGACAGTCAGTATAATTTTCAAGTCATCAATTTTAATTGAACAAACCTCCCAAAAATAAAACAACACAAAATGCTCTGTTAAGAATTATTATGCACAACAGAGTTTCAAAACATTTTATTGTTTGTAAAGAACTGCAAATGGTCATTTGTTGAATTTGCAACATTAAAAGGTCATATTTACTGAAACTAAAAGCTATTTAGATCAAAATGTCTTAACAGGCCGAGTTGCATGTTAGCATAGGACCCCTTCCTTGACATAGCCTTCACAATTCTTGCATCCATTGAACCAGGAGAATTTCTGGTTGGATTTCTTTGTAAGATGTCAGAATCGCCTCCCACAGCTGCTGTTTTGATGTGAACTACCTCCCACCCTCATAGATCTTTTGCTTGAGGATGCTGCAAAGGTTCTCAATAGGGTTGAGGTCAGAAACCACAGGAGGGAGGATGGAAACCACACCATGAGTTTCTCTCCTTTTATGCCAATAGCAGCCAATGACACAGAGGTGTTGTTTGCAGCATGAGATGGTGCATTGTCATGCATGAGAATAATTTTGCTATGAAGAGCACTGTTCTTCTTTGGGTACCATGGAAGAAATGGTAAATGACAACTCTACATACTTTGCTGAGGTCATTTTCACACCTTCAGGGACCCTAAAGAGGCCAACGAGCTCTCTCCCCATGATTCTGGCCCAAAACATGGCTCTGTCACTTCCTTGCTGATGTCGCAGGCTTGTTGAGACATGGTGGCCATCCACTACATCATCCATCGGGACCATCCAGGGTTACATGGCAAATTAGAAAACAAGACTGTTTGAAAATTAACCTTCATGTATTTCTTGGCCCACTGCAACCGTTTCAGCTTGTCAGTTTTGGTTAGGGGTGGCCGAATGGCAGGTTTATGCACAACTGCAAGCCTCTGGAGGATCCTGCACCTTGAGGTTCATGGGACTCCAGAGGTTTCAAATATCTCTTTGCAGCTTTGTAATAGCATTTTAACAGCTGCTCTCTTAATCCGATGAACTTGTCTGGCAGAAACCTTCCTCATTATGCCTTTATCTGTGCAAACCCGTCTGTGCTCTGAATCAGCCACAAATCTCTTCACAGTACGATGATCCTGCTTAAGTTTTTGTGAAATATCTAATGTTTTCATACCTTATCCAAGGCATTGCACTATTTGACACTCTGCAGCAGAGATTGTTTTTCTTTCCATTATTGCTTTAAACCTGTGGCATGCTTAATAAAGTGGAACATCCTTCTTAAGTAGACTTCCTTTAATTGGGCTCATCTGACAAACTAATTATGTCTGAGATTGATATCAGTGATCCAAAGAGCCCTGAGACACAACACTATCCATGAGTTTAACTGAACACAAAAAAATTGAGTGTTTATGACACTAAAATCCTATTTGCACAATAATTTTTGGAGCACGGTGTACATAATGTTTTTACAGATGTCAGTTTGTAGGAAAATTAAAAATCACCAGTAGCTTTAGAACAAGCTGGGGGGTTTTGTTTTTTTGAGCACAGATCTGTTATTTGGCACCACCGGATTGGTGTTTATTCATTTCCCATGAGAGGGTGTTTTTTTGTTTTTTGTTTTTTGTTTTTTCCCTTCCTGCTGGTGGGTGTTATAACTGCTGTTTGTGCCACGGGGCTGCCAATGATATTCATGCAGCAGCCCACAGCAGGGAGCACAAACACAAACACGTACACTCACAGGTTAAAATACATGAGCACGTCCCCCACAGTCAAAAACACGGTCCCTCTTTATCTCTCTCGCGCGCACACATAGACACAAACGCACCGCGACACCATCAGCACCCCTCCCAGCATGCAGGTGGCCCTACAGTAAAGAGCAGGCCTCGATAGATGACGGAGATATTTACATCAGCGCGCTGCTTCGTGAACACCACGGGCCCAAACAGACTGCCCCCGCTGCACAAGCCATCGCATTTAATGTTTTTATAATGACACCAGTAGAAATTTGTTGTGCAAGTGGAGGAGGGTTTAGCACAAAGAGGGACAGACATTCAGAGAGGAGGCTCAGAAGTGTTCGGATTATCAGTGGCCTTTACATGGATGCATGAGGCAGCATATTCATGGGCAGTCACAGGCCTTCTCTATCTGTTTGTTTATCATCACTCCTTGTAGCCTTGCAACAGGTCGCTGTTTATCGCTGTGTGTGTGTGTTTTTGTGTCTGTGTTAATGATGGTCCTGCCAAGGCCCCTATCACAAGACTGTTAAAGAGCGATTCATTTGCTTGTTTATTTCCCCAAAGACATTCACCTCAAACTGGGTGCGCTTTTGAATGCTATGTAATTTGTAATCTGTTCAGTGGTTTTAAGTGGCAGGAGTGTGAATACGTGCGCGTGTGTGTCCTGAATACTTGTGCTTGTTTGTTTGCAGAAGTGGATCGAGGGTTTGAGGTCAGTGATTCACAACGTTAAGGCCAACAACGTCTGTCCAATGACATGCCTCAAGAAACAGTGAGTGCAATTCGCAGCACAGTTGTAATAACTTGGCTGTGCCTTCTTCAGTAAGACGCCTTAATCCTACTTCCTGTTTTTGTTTAGTTGGATGAGAATGTGTTTCCTTACCAACGTGAATGGGAAGATTCCTGTAAGAGGGTAAGAGTGCGTTTAAAGTGTTTTTGGGTTTGTTTTTTTTATACAATGTCATTCACTCATCTTCACCTTATCCTCCTCTTCTTCTTAAAGCATCACTCGGACATTTGCGTCAGGCAAAACGGAGAAGGGGATCTTTCAGGCTCTGAAGGATCTGGGCCTTCCTAGTGGAAAGGTCAGACAATACTGGAAGTCAGATGTGTCCGAGTTTGTTACGCTGAAAGAAAACAGTGAGGAAATGACTCTCTCACTTACCTTTCACAGAACGATGAGATCGAACCAGCAGATTTTACCTTTGACATTTTTTACGCGCTCACACAGAAGATCTGCCCTCGCACAGATATAGAGGAGCTCTTCAAGAAAATGTAAGCATTTCATCTCGTCCGCTCTTTTTAAATGTTTTTGTACCTTTAAAAATAATAAAATATCCTCCGAATACACATTTAACAGCATTACCCTCACCCAGCATCGCATTGTACCTGCGTTACCTTGTGCCTGAGCGGAACAATGATATCATCTGTTTAAATATTCCCCAAGTGAGAGCTGCTGCATCATGTTGGAAATAATCAGGACAAATGTTTCTGTGCCTGCCGCACTAACTATATCTGGACAGCCTAACCTGCTTCCACCGTTCAACATTAATTATGTTCAACCTAATGACAACAGTCAAAGAAGAGCGATGATTAACAAGATACTACTAAAAGCGTAATGTAACTGTAAAGACTGGCTTTTCTCATTTTAACTGACTGACTGTGTGAATGACTGTGAGGGTTTCGATTTTAAGGAGCATAACATTCTGTTTTGTTTTTCTAATTAATCTCTCTGCAGCAATGGGAACAAAACTGATTATTTAACTGTAGACCAGTTAGTCAGCTTTCTGAATGAAGTAAGCTCTTTATCATTCATTAACTTCTCTCTGTATTTAGCTTGCGTGTGCCCTTCCCTGCAACTCCTGCTGCTCTTACTCTCATCCTGCTCGGGGGTAGAAGTCGCCCTGCTCCCAGGCCCGACTGCACATTAGTCCACCTTAATCAAATTGGATGGACACAACATTTAACTTTGAGTGGGCCTGCAAGGGCATCTTCAACCACCTCCCTTATTCTGCATGCCCACCGTCATCCCATTCCTCATGTTCTCCCTACCGCGGCTTGCCTCCTTCTCCCCCCCCGTGTCTGATTGGTGTTGCCGTAGCAACGGGAGGGTCGAGGTTTCCATCCTGTTGCTTCCTGCTCGGTTCGTCTCGTTCCCTGCTGTGCGTATATGTGTTCTGTGGCTGTGCTGCTCTGTGTGGCTGAATACCTGCCTCGTCCTGCTGCTGTGCAGTCACGTGTTTGCGCTGCTTCATGCTCTGGGCTCGCCAATCAGATTAAATTCCCCACCTGGCTCTGTGAGTGGGCAGCGACATGTTCATGATGTTTGAATGTTTGCTGTTGTTTTTGTGAATGCCACCTCGATTCCCTCAAACACATGTGACCCTTTGCTTTTAAGCAACATTTAATCTCTGCACCTGTTAGTGTGGCTCACAGGTTTTTGTTTATACTGCCGTATAATAATCACCTTGATCAGTGCTTTTAGTACTTGCTGTCTAAATGTTACGTGCCTGTGTGTACACTAATGATATATAGATAATATTTCTTAAATAGTAAGCGATGAAAGCCAATCACATAGTCCTGAGTTCAGTACCTTTGATCAGGCATAACAAATTGAGAGTGTAAACATATTGTAATAAGTTTGCTCCTATCCTGCGTGTAGCGCAAGATGCGTTTGTCCTAAATTAGATTTGTGCTGGGAAATTACTGGAGACGATGAATAGAGGGATGACTGCGTTTGTGTTTCGCTTCACAGAACCAGCGCGACCCAAGGTTAAACGAGATTCTGTTTCCATTCTACGACCCCAAGAGAGCCATGCAGATCATCGAGAAATACGAGAGAGACGAAGATCTGAAGAAGAAAGGTAAAGAACCGTGTGGGCAAACCAGAGGGAGAGAGATGTTTTAGGCTTTGCTGCCATCTGCAGGTGTTACCTTGAACGGAAAACCAGATTGTTGGCACATTTTCTCCAGGACTAAATATTTATTGTCAAGCGCCGGAGTTTATTTTTCCCCTGTTATCATTATGATGAAATGGTTGTACACATAGCTCTGCTGCTTTTTAAATACGCATTTAGATTCCCAGAAGAATCTACAGTAGTTAAACATCAAGTTGTTTTGATATAAACACACAGGCCTGACATTTGCACGTCTTGTGCTGAATTCAGAGTAAGTAATGATAAAAATGTATATACTAATAAAATACTTAGTGATAGAGAGTGAATTATAAAAGCCATTTATTCTGTTTACTTTAGAACACTTCTTCTACATATTACATTTTTCCAAAATAAATAAAAAAATTACAATAATATTTTCAGAGTTTTATACTGCTTTCACCTTAAAGAAA